CATTAAAATGGGGCGCCTTTTTGAATCGTTGCAGCTCCCTAGTGCCCATCAGGCCGGTCTGGGGCTGGGAGGGGCAGTGCTCACCTGGCCTTGTTCCCTTCCCCGTTCATGCTGATGGCTCTGTCTGACACCCCCAGCTTCACGTCCCCTCCTGACCATCTTCTGCTCATCCTCAACGGCCTGGCAAAAGGCTGAGCGAGCACTTGGGCCGCTCTTGACATCGGCCATCGTCATAGGGGTGCATATATCCTTTTGAATTTGTGTCTCAGGGTTCTTAGGATATATTCCCAGCGGTGGGATTGCTGGGCAAGTGGATAAAAAAAATGCCGGAATGCATTTATACAATGGAATACTACACAGCCATAAAAAGGACCCGGAGGTTATTAAACTAAGAGAAACAGGCCAGTCAGAGAAAGATGAATGCCGTGCGATCTCACTTGTATGTGGCGTCTAATGAACAAAAACCCTGACAGAACCAAACCGACACAGGCGTGGACACACGGAAGTGACTGACAGATGTCAGAGGGGAGGGCGCGGGGCCTGGAGGGAAGGAGGGGAAGGGATTAGCCAAAGAACATACATGTATCACCCTTGGACACAGACAAGAGTGTGGTGATAACCTGAAGGATGGGGGGCCGTGTGGAGGTGGGCAAATGTGGGGGGGGGGGAGGACATCTATTATAGTGCCAAGAATAAAAATAAAGAAAGAAAAGGCCGAGAGAGGACTCCGCTCGTCCCACACCGTGCTCATGACCCGACCTCCCTCTGGGCCCCAGTGGCCACCCCTGCAGCGGCCCCCAGCCTTTGGGACTGGGTGCCACAGGCTTCCGTGAAAATGCAACATATCACTCACCGGCTGGGTGGTCTTGGGCAAGACACGGAACTTCTCTGGGCCTCCGATTCTCATCTGTGAAACAGGGATGTTGATTCTGTCTCTAGACTTCTTCATAAGGACGGAGGAAGCAGGCAGGAGCACTGAGCTGTGACTATTCCCGCCATGGCTGCGGCATGCCACGCAACCCTCCCGGGAAGAGAGCCAGCGTCTGGGCGGGCCTGGGGTCCCACCTGAGAGAGGCCAGGCCCCCTGGACTTGGCCCCTGCCTGCAGCCGGCTTGCCGGCGGTCCCCTTCAGTCTTGGCGCAAATCAGCTGCCTGTTCCCTTGGCTGCAGACACCGCGGCCCAAGCGGTGGGAGCACAGAGTCCAGGCTTTGCTATCTGAGTGTGCTGTGTGACCCTGGGCCAGCCACTTGACCTCTCTGGGCTTCAGCTTTCCCACCCCACCTTCCCCACCTCGTTTAGTGAAGATAAATAATTAAGGTGTTCCCTGTGAACCCCCGCCAGCTCCTCCAAACACAGCGGTAGAGAATGCCTATTATCATGACCAAGGGCCTTTGGCCTATGGCAAAAATCATTCATTTTGGGGGTGGGAAGATACCTTTTTTTAAATTATACATGACTACACTTACCTTTTTAAAAAATCAATCCTGTTTTAAGGTAGCAGCAAAAAAACAGTTGTAGAAGAAAACCAAAAACTGGTTCCCGAGGATGCGTCCAGGAGAGTCGAGTGCCCGGGGAAGTGCTGGACCCCCAGGGCGGGAGTCCCAGGGCTTGTTCAAACATTCACCCGCGGAAGGACATTTTGGTTGTCCCCAGTTTGGGGCCGCTGCACACAAGCATGGGTGAGCGCTGAGTGCGTGTTTAATGTTTGTGAGAAGCGGCCAAACCAGTTTCTGGAGCGGCCCTGCCGTCGCCCCTTCCCGCCGGCCGCGCCTGGGAGATTCGCGTCCTCGTTGGCGTTCGGTGCTGTCGCCATCTCGCATCTCGGCTGGACCAGCAGCTGCGTGGGGACACATCCCCATGGTCTCAGCCTGCACTTCCCTGATGGCTGGGGATGCTGACTGTCCCTCACCTGCGCACCTGTCACCCATGTGTCCTCTCAGATGGATGTTTCTACGTGCCTTTTGCTCACGTTCTAGTTGAACTGCGTTTGCCTCTGCTGACGAGTGAGAGGTCTTTACACATTCTCGACGGGAGTCCTCTGCCAGGTGCGGGGCGGGCAAATGTTTCCTCCCGGTCTGTGGTCAGTCTTGTCTTCTTAAGAGTCTCTTTCACGGGGCAAAAGCCCTTAGTTCTGAGGAAATCCAATTCATGTTCTCTTGTGGATTGCGCTGTTGGTGTCAAGTCTAAGAACTTGTCACCTAGCCTACCCCCAGGTCTCCAAGACTTCCTCCTTCGTTTTGTTTAAAAGTTTCTCTGTTTTACCTGTTACTCTCGAATCCATGATCCATTCTGAGTTCCTTCCTGTACACCGTGTGGGACCGGGGCGGAGAGTCGGCTGTGTCTGCAAGGCCCAGTCGTTCCGGGCCACTTGCCGAAGGATCGTCTTTCTTCCACTGAACGGCCACGCCATCCGTTAACATCCTCTAACTTGTTACAACCCACATCTGGTTGGTCAGCTACCCGCCGGCTTGGAGTGCAGCCCTGCCTCTTCCCAGGTGAGCGGCAGCGCTGGCCAGAGCCGGACGCACGGCCCTCAGCGGGGCTGCAGGGGGACATTGGGGGAGGTGGCCCTGGTGCATGCCATGGGGGCTGCCAGGGAGACTGCTCCTCTGTTGCGACGGCCTCTTGGGGTAAATGTGGCCAGATGACGCATCCGGTGTCATCAGGAAGCATGCCTATAAATTAGGCTGCTCAGAGGCATGGGGTGCACAATAATTAAGTAATAAAAGTCACCATGGGGATGGAGGAGCGGGCAGCGAAGGGTCCCCTGTTGTGACGTGCCACAGGCTGCCTGATGGGCAGACCTCTGAGCACAGGGGTGTGTCGAAGCCACCGAACCCCCCCAAGCAGAGGCCCGGGTCCCCTGGTCCCCATGAGGGTCCGCACCATGAAGACAGAAGGACACTGTGTGCGAAGCCCAAGGCTTGATCTCAGTTCCCAACCACACGCCCTTGGGGTCACCTCTCTTCTCAGCACCCTATTTCCCCATTTCCTGCCTGTGAAATAAGGTTGCGGGGGAAGGTCAGAGGCTCCCGAGTTTTCCTGGGGCCCACGCACCCCTGAAAGTGTGGATTCCCCCCCCCAGACAAAGTGCCTGTGCCCACCTGCTGAGAAATGCTGTCTGCACTCGAGGGGTGGGGTGGGGGTGCCTAAGGGCATCAGGGCGGACGGTCTCTGAGGCCTGGAGGGTGGGTCCTGGACCCGGCACCTCTGGACCCGGGGATGCGGACCGTGCCTCTAGCACGGCCCCCCTGCCCCCCCGGGTCTGTGCACACAGGAGAGCTTGCAAAACGCTGCCCTGTGGAGCCGGCAGCTGCAAAGGGCTCTGTGGTCGCCAGGCCCGGACCCTCTCTGAGCGACTCAGCTGCACAGCATTTTCTACTGGTGTTTCCCAAAGTGTGGGCGAGGAACCCCTGCGTGTTCTTGAGCTGGGTCTGCCGTAAGAAGCCGCCACAAACTTGGTGTCTGTAAACAACAGAAATGTATTCCAGAGGCCGGAAGTTCAAAATTGAGGTGTTGGCAGGGCTACGCTCCCGCTGGAGGCGCGAGGGGAGACTCCTCCTGACCCTCGTCTTCCAGCCCCCGGGGCCCAGGCGCCCCACAGCTTTGACGGCCTCACTCCAGCCTCTGCCGGTCTCCAGGGCACCCTCTTCCCTGCGTGTCTCTTACGAGGACACTTGTCATTGGACTCAGGGCCTACCCTAAAGGCATTTACCAAATTATCTACCCCATCCTGAGATCCTTTACTTGGTTCCTTTCCCAGAATGTCCCACACTCCGGACTCGCCAACAGCTTCCTCGTGGGGGGGCGGGGGCCGTGGGGTGGGGGGGCATGGGCTCTCCCCCACGGCCTGCCTGCTTCCCCCGGGGTCCCCCACGGCAGCACTGGCCACAGGTGGCTCCCACGCACCGGGAATGGGGCTCATGCTGCCAAGGAGCTGACATTTCCATTTTATGTATTTTAACTAATTTAAACTCAGACTTAAAAACTGGACCTCTTAAATATCATTAATATTTTAAAGGGATTCCATGTTGACGTGACAATTTGGGAGGTACACTAGTGAAATTGATTTCACTGGTTTCTTTCCCTCTGTTGAACTTGGCCCCTGAAAAATTTTGGTTGCATGTTGGCTCCCATGAGAGTGCTTGACCCGCAGCGTCACTTTGGGTATTTTCTCCCCAGATATTTGGTGGACAGTTGCTACGTGTCTCCTATCCGTCACTTCTGAGGTCTGTTTGTCACCTTCAGTGACATCAATCATGAGTCAATTTTATGTTACGTATATTTCGCCACAATAAAAAAAAAATGGACTGTCCGGCTCAGCTGGGGCAGCCTGGCCCGCCCCCTGTGAAGTTCCGCATCTGCCTCCCGCGTGACCACATTAGCCACCGTGGATGGTGACCACCGACGCCCCCTGCTCCGTGAGGGACTGGGAGAGACTGGGTCCCTTCCCCCACCTCTGTCCCTCCGCCTGCATGTGTGAGCTCCAGTTCTTCCGTGAGAACTCGCCCTTGTCACCCGCCCCAAGCAGGTCTCAGTTACAGAGCTGTCCCTGCTGCTCTGGGGTCTTCCCTTTGGTCCCCAGGAGGGGTGGCGGCAGTGCCTGCTGTGCGGCGTTGGGGGTGGGGGATCCGCGGAGCTCTTCGCAGGGCCAGGGTTCTTGGTAGAGGCGGGCCTGCGTGGCCAGGTGGCAGGGGTGGGGGGCGAACGTCGCAGACTCTTTGCTAAGACTGGCTTCAGGGACCCAAGGAGGAGCCTAGTCCAAACGAGTGTTCCCAGGAGCCCACCTCAAACTGGTCAGGGGACCGTCTCTGTCACCTTCCAGGCCGAGCCCTTGGCCACCTGCCATCCACGTCTGTGGCTGACTCACACGAGGCACCCGCCACTTCCTGGGATTTTGAGCCTGGGGGAGCCTCTTGCGGTCCTGGGAGACAGGGGCGGCCTGGGGAGGTCCCGGGCCCTTCCAGGACCTCCAGGCCTCGGGAATTCCTCCCCACAGGCCTTCCACGCCCCTCTTCGACCTGCTGCAGCACCGCTACCAGCAGCTGTGGGTGCAGGAGCAGAAGGCCGCCCAGAAAGCCATCAAACTGGAGAAGAAGCACAAGGTAAGGGCTGCCTCCATCCTGAGCAGCCGACTGTCGGGGGGCCAGAGGCAGGAAGGGCCGGACCGGCCTACACTCGGGGACTACGCGGCCTGCACCTTTGCCCCTGGGGGTGGCCAGGAATCAGGCTGCCCGTTGCTGTGCTGACCAGGCCTCACAGACGGTTAGAGCCGGAGAGAGTCTTGGTGGTGATCAGATTCAACCGCCACCTGAGCCCCAAGAGGGGACAGTTCCGGGCAGGGTCCCCAGTGCGTTGGCCTGTGGAGGAAAGGCTAAGAAGGCAAAAGGGACCGAGAAAGCCGCCTTCTGGGGAGGTGCCCGAAAGGACAGTGCCGTACACTTTGGGGGCCCTTGTGTTTCCAGTGAATGGCCCGGGCCCATGCCAAAACACTTGGGGTCCATCACAGGCACCATCTCATCCTCACCTTGCAAAAGCCCCGGAGGTGGATGTGAGGAAACCCTGCTCCCCAAGCACAGAAGTTGAGCTCCGAGAGGCAGGCGGTGCCTACACAGGGGACATGGAGCTGGGGACAGACCACACCCAGACACCGCCCACGTCAATGGCGCGGGAGGCAGGAGGGGGAGACCCACTGCCCTACGGTCAGCGGGGCTTTGGGCTGGTGTGGAGACTTGGGGCTTCGGCAGGACACACCCATTGTCCTGCCTGCTGTCCCCCCAAGCGCCCCCTGAGTTGATGGGTCGTCTCAGTGAAACTGAGGCTCCGAGTGGGCGAGTGGCCAGAGCATCAGAGCAGGCCCGGCCCCGGGCGGCTCCCACCCCAGAGCCTGGGCTTTTCCCAGGTGGCGAGGCCCTGCTCCTGCTGATCAGAGGGGAGTTCGGGGTCCAGCCAAGGTGCTCTAGGGGAGTCTGACCCGGGACCCTGTTGCCCCCGGGGCCAGGCCAGAAGAGGCCCCGAGGCCAGACGGCATAATTGATTAACGAAATTAGTCAAAAGGCATTTGATGGGGTTGCGGTATCCGCGGTGAAACTCAGTCCAGCTCTCCCCTGCCCACGGCGCTGCCCATGTGCCCGGGCTCAGGAGGTGCTGCTGTAGGAGGTGCTGGAAGTTTGGGCTTTGCCTGCAGAGGAAGCCGCCTTGGCGGGCAGACGAAACCCCGGTGTAGACCCCAGTGTAGACCCTGGAGACCCAGGTTTTGGGGGGCCTGGAACCTCTGCATTTGGGGGCGCCTGCCTGTTTAAGACTCTAGGTAAAGTCCCTGTCTACCGGTTACCTCCCCCAAGGAATCGAATTTGGCGAGACGGCAGCCGTGGGCTGGGGTTTGCCCTAACGCCGCTCCCCCGGGGCACACCTCAAATGCAGAGGCCAGGGTCCCGCTCGTGCCGATTCGGTGGCTGGGGGCCTTGGACCCCGAGTTAGTGGGCTGGGGCTGCCATGACAGACACCTCGGGCCAGGCGGCTTCAAGGACAGAAATCCCTCGTCTCCAGGTTCCAAAGGCTGGAAGTCCAAAGTCAAGGCGGGGGCAGGGCTGGCTTTTCCCGAGGGCTCCCTCCTTGGCTTGTGGACAGCGGGCTCGCCAGTGTGCCCTCGCCTGGCCCTTGCTCTCTGTGACATGGCTGGTGCGTCTCCCGGTCACAAACACACCAGTTCTGGCACATTAGGGGACAACCTCACAGCCCCATTCACCCTGAGTGACCTGCCTGCATGAATGCCCTGTCTCCAGACACAGTCACCTGGGGGTCAGGGTTCCTCCGTGGGACTTGGAAAGGGGTGCCGTTCCGGCCACAGCAGCCCCGTGAGCTCCAGGACCCTGCAATGGGCTGGCTGGCACCTGTTAGCGGCGCGGGGCCTGCCAATCAGGAGGAACCATCCCTGCAGAGACCTCGCGGGCTCGGAACTGAGCCCCTCAGCCCCTCCCAAAAGGAGCCCCCCTTCCTATTCCGGGAGCGGGTCCTGGTGGCACCTATTCCGGGCTCCCGAGAGGTGCCTACAACCCCGGAGGCCGTGCCCCTCTGTCCGAGCTCCATGGAGTCCCCCCCAACTGCCAGGGCTGTGTGTGCCGCCAGGGAAAACGACAAGTGTGGCTGGACGCTGTCCTTGCCCTTGAGGCGGCTGCGTGCGCGCACCAGGGACGAACCAGACACTGACCCTGTGGTCCCCCCTCCAAGTCCCCCGGGTTACAGCCTCGGCCCGGCAAGGGTGCAGGCGCCTCAGAGTCAGGCCTGCGTGAGGGTTGGGTGAGGCAGAAAAGCGAGCCACGGGGCTGCCCTCTCGGGCCGGTCGCAGCGCTGGCTTGTCAGGCAGCCAGGTGGCCCCCTGGCCTCTGATTTCGCTGCCTGCAGATGGTCCTTGGGAAGCTCTACGAGACCCGGAGCAGCCAGCTGAGGAAGTACAAGCCGCCCGTGAAGCTGGACGCCCTCTGGCACATGCCTCACTTCCAGAAGGTCAGTGTCATGCCCTCGGCGGCAGCTGGTGTTCTCCTTGCCTGGCGTCTACCTGCCCCCTGCACAGGGAGCTCCGTGGGCTTCCAGCCTCCCAGGGGCCCGACGGCCACAGCAGTGGCTCCCACTGCAGCAGTTCTCGTTCATCCCCCGCCCCCTGAGTGCCTGGCGCTGAGCTCCAGTCACTGACCCTTCACGCTCACTGTCCCCTGGTCACAGACAGAGAACAGCAAAGGCTGCTAAGGAGCAGCTTCGGGCTGAAGCCGGACTCTGACTGCTGGAGTTGGGGTGCTCGTCCACCAGGGAACGGCGTCTGGGCAGAGCCCCTCCACGGATGGGGCTTCAGAAGCACCACATCCCACCCTGGGACCTTGGGGACACAGGTGTCTCTCAACAGGGTTGGCTCCCCCAGGGGGACGGGAAGCAGATGTCTCCTGGGGCTGCCATATGGGCAGAAAAGGGACCCAACGCTCTGGGAGTCGCCATGATGCTCTGGACCTCGGAACTGAGAGGGGTGCATTTGGCCGATAGCCCTGTGGTGGTCCCCAGACAGGGTCCCCATAAGAGCTGGGGCACTGTGCAGAGCAGGGAAACCAGGGGGTCAGGGACAGCGGCTTCAGGATGGGGGTGGGCTGTGTGTGCCCGACTCTGGCTACCAAGCCTCTCTGGGGGCCACAGCTGTCACACGAGGCCCGAGGAAGGAGGTTGCACAGAGCAGCACTCCTGGCCACCCAGGCCAGGCCACTGCGTGGAGTTAAACTGCAGTTTAGACAATGAAGGGCCGGTGGCTTCCTGAGCCTAATGCGATCGAACAGGCTGCCGAGCTTCACCGGAGACGCCCGCTCGCCCCCTCAGTGTGACCTCTCGTGTCCTGCCCAGTGGCCCCTGCCAGCTCACGTCAGTGACCGTTTGCCCGCCGCCCATCAGCCGAGCTGCCCCCGCACACGGAACGTGACTGGCCGCTTGGGTGGTGTCGCTGTGCTGCCTTTCCTCCCGGACCCCGCAGCACGCTCAGCTCCAGTGCCTGGTCTGCCCCGGCCTCCTGCCTTCCCAGCCACAGCCCTCTGCCCCCTTCCCTCCCTTTCGACAGCCCCTGTTCACGTTCTCCTTCCCGGACTCTCCTTCTGTGGCCTCTCCTCCTGGCTCCTTGCTCTCTGATCCTCCTAATACCTATGGCGGTCCTGACATCGGAGGGCGGGTGCCGCCCAGGACGGGGCTCCCGGCTCCTCGGGCATGAGATGCTCCACTTGTCTCTCTGCTCCTAGCATCGACCCCCCGCCTCTCAGCTCCGCCCCTGACCCAGGACCTGCCTGGTCTCTACAAGGTGATGGACAAAGGAGCTTTCTTCAACCCAGAAAGAACCCGATGGGCTTCTATTTTCAAAGTAGGAGATATGACGGAGCCGTGCCTGGCCTCTCCCAGTCCTTGCCCTGCTGTGATAAAATTCCGCCACGAGCCACAGCAGCCACCTGAGCGCCAGCCCTTAATGCTGCACCAGGCATTTTGCGTGTCCCCGTCCCGCCGGGAGTTGGGCCCGGAGGACAGCAGGGCCCAAGCCGGACACGCCACCATATCATCCCGTAGGAACCACGAGAGAGAGAATAGGAACGCCGACACCGGTTCAGAGGGTGATGCTTTTCATCATCTCTGGGATGCTCGTGGGATTCTGGAAGCTCCATGCTGAGAAGGGTGTGTGCCCGGGCGCCGCCGGCCACAGCCCAGCACTGACCGGAGACCCGCAGAGCGCTGCCGCCATGACACTCGTGACACTCAGTGCCCCCACTGACGGAAAATTACCAAGTGCCAAGTGCTGGCGTGCATGAGAGAGGAGATGTCCCCGTTCTACCGATGTGGAGAGGGAGGCTCCGAGAGGCGAAGGGCCTGGCCCTGGAGGGAGGGGACCCGGATCCAGCCCGGCCTCCCGAGGACCCTCCCTGCCTGTGTCACCCGGCAGGTCCCTTCTTCCTGCTGACGGGCTCCTCCCCCCCCCCCGCACTGCACTGTCCGCACATTAATTAAGCCCCTGATTGAGTCATTAGTCGTTCAACAACTTTCCTAGTAAAACGCGACCTCATTAGAACCACGCCTGCCACGTCCCCCGTCCCATCCCCGAGCCCTGCACAGAGCCCGGCACCGAGCGGGTGGTCAGCAGCTGTCTGAGGGATGAATGAAGGAGTGGGTGAGTGAACGAGTGACGGCAACATTTCACAGCCTCCGAGCCAGAGCCTGGCGCCCCGGGACCGCTGCCTGGGTCTGCACCCAGAGGCCGGCGGGGGGGTTGGCTGCCTCCGCCCACAGAGGCCTGGGGAGCCGCCCCCGGAGGGTCTTTGTCTGCCTCTACTCCCTCCGGTCTCTGCAGATCCCCCGTCCACCCCTCCCCACCCGGCCCCGTTATGAAAGGAAAAAGCACTTCCAAAAAAGTTGAACCTGTCACAGTGATGGATGACCTAAATGAACTCTCCCCGCTCGCGAACAGATGTCGCGGCTGAACTCTGTCAGAAATAATTAAACACCTTTCACGGGGAAACACTGCAGGCAGGCGAGGACGCTCCTCGGGCTGGGTCAGCGCCACCGCGCAAGCTGGCTTCCACTCGGCTCAGCCAGCCCCCCGGGAGCCGCCCCAGCCCCCGGGGCGGTCCAGCGGGACACTGGGCACTCCCGGGGGGACCCAGAAACGACACCTCCTTCAGGGCAGGGCGCCCTGGCGGGCCTGCGGACCCCCGAAGACTCAGGCTGCCGCCTCCGGCAGCACCCCTCCTGGTCCCTGTGACCAGCAGTTGCCACAGGTGGCCAGCGCCCAGAGGGGAGGGTCAGCCGACAGCTGGCAAGTGGCCTTTCTGCCAGAACGTTCAGACTGTGCCACCAGCCAGCTCAGAGAGCTGGACCAGCCGCTGAACCTCAGTTTCCCATCTGAAAATGGAGTTCTTGAGGGTCATGGCCAACATAAGATTCCATGGTCCCAAGTTCACTGGTCAAGGAACCATGGGGGAGGGGGCCTGGGGGTGCGTGGAGGGGGCAGGCCCCAAAGCCAAGTGAACTGTCAGGGGGCCGCCCCGATTCCCACAGAGGGACGAGACGTGGACTCCTGGCTTCCTGGCCCCGGGAGGAAGGCTCTCTGGGCGGGGCAGCGCCTGCTGTGCCAGGCGGCCTCGGGCTCACTCGCCCTCCCCCAGGGGTGCTGGGGTCTTCCGGGGAGAGCGAGCAGCCATCGGGGAGGGAAGGGTGTGCCATAGTCCGTGTGCACTCCTGACTCTAGGGTCAGCCAGACCTGGGTCACGGGGCGACCCTGCCACTCCCCACCTGTCAGGGGGCTTGACCTGTCTGAGACCCTGTTTCCTCTTCCGTGAAGTGGGATAGGCCTGTGGGAAGGTTGGCGGGAACACGCGTGCACCAGGGCCAGCGAGTGCCTGGCCCAGTAAGTGCAGCCGCCGTGAGGTGGTCCTGGCGACCACTCCCTCACTCACTCACTCACTCACAAATCTGGACGGACACCTCGCACCAGGCCCCGTTCTGGGTGCCAAATGTGCCTCTGCTCTGGGGCCGCAGGTAACTGGCGGAGAGTGCGGTGCGCGGTCGGACAGACGGGCGGACGGGTAACTGCACAGGAACCCCTGGCTTGCCCAGGGTGCCCCTCCTGTCCACCTGTTGGGAGGCAGAATCACCAATGGCTCCGCCTTTTGTTCTCAAAAGCAACCCAATCTGAAGCACACGTCCTGCGGCCACCTGGTAATTAGCCAAGAAAAAGAGATGTTTTATCCTTCCTCACAAAAGGCTGCGGGTGCTGCCGGCCCAGACAAAAGGGCAGGCACTCCACAGACTTAGGGCCGTGCCAGCAAGCCCATTGGAAGGCTGGGGGCCACCGGGGAAGCGATGGCTCACACAGGTGACGTCCCACAGAGGGAGGGTCCCCAGTGACGTGACACGTTGCGCAGCCACGGAAGATGGGGGTCTGTACTCACTGACGCTCCACTAGCCCAGTGTTGACTAAAGGACCCGCGATGTCGGGAGAGAGGTGGCCTGTGACCACAGGCGTGTGGGCTCCAGGGCGGGTGTCGGGAGGGGGCCCGAGCAGCAGCAGCGGGGGTCTCCGGGGAGGTGGGGCCTGAGTCTTGCCTTCTTGGATGCTCTCCTCTGCATCGAGTTTTCACAGGGAGTTTGTGCAGCTTTTGCAAAATAAGCGAGACTGTTCTTCGACATGTTTTTAAAGGATGGGGACTCTGTATCCCTCCCAGGGGCTTGTCCGGCACTCAAGCTCCCCTTCAGCCCAGTTCTCTGACTGCTCCCCAGCGCTGCCAGGCTGCTGGCCACCCCTGGTCTCTTATGTTCGGGTCCAGCAGGTGTGACAGCCAGAGGCCCACACTCTGCCGTAGCAGTGACCGCAGCTGACTTGCTGAGTCCTGATCTCTTTGGCCAAGCGCACCTTATAACTGGAGACCGGAAACCCATGGTTGCGGGGGGTGTTGCCCAAGCACTCCCACCCGACCACCCTGCCTCCCTGGCACAGGCCGATACCCCGACATTACATAGTCATTCAGTCACCAAAGTATGAACAAATCGACTCTTTTCACCAGGCTTTCCGTTTCAGCCCCACTGCTTTAGAATAATGGCCCGAGCTATTAAGCTAACAGTTTGATTTACAAGCCCTTGCGTTCCGGCTCAGACGCCTGCCTCCGTGGACGACTAACCCTGCCTCGCTCTCCTGGGCCCCCGGCTCCCTGACAGCGCAGGGTTCCGACGGCGGGGAAATCAGCAGTCAGCCAAGCAGACGCCGGAGCCGCAGCTGATTAGCGAAAGCCGCTGAATCTCAGAAAAGGATTTTCTTCCCCACCTTGAAGCTCTCTTGCAAATCATAGCCGGCTGCGGAGTTAACTCTGCCAAACCCCAGGGCGGGCTCAGGGCCCGTCCACCCTGGGGCGGCCACCTCTCCGAAGGGCTCCCTCTGTTCTGGTAAAGATGGGCCCTTCCTGCCCAGGTGTGTCCGTCCCCTGAGTCACTCCTGGCAG